ACAAATCATGACATGAAAATCTTAAGAAACTCTCACTAAAGCACACTGCAATCTGGACTAGATACATTTCAAGTTCAAAAACAACATGCCATTAGTGACTACCACATTGGCCAGCACAGGGTCAATAGTGATTATGTCTAGTAAAATGTCTCACAGCTAGTTAGTAAAACCAAGATGCAACTTTAGGTCCCTTTAACTCCAAAGCCTGTTTGTTCTTTCTGTTTGAGGAAACTATCAGAAGTTAACATACCTTCAAGTATTCAATTCATACTAACAAAATCCTGACTAGAGGATGAAACACATTGGCAATTCAAATAAATATTTAAAAAACAAAACAAAACCACAAAGCCCATTTATACAATGCCATTATATAAAATGTCAGTTTCAAAAATGAAGGTAATAAGTAAAATTTTAATTAGATAGGTCTATTATGTACACAAATTATGAACATGATACTTTATGTATATCCAGTGTATATTTATAACAACATTCATGTTGTGTGATAACTGACCCCTGTTTTAGTTACCTTGAAATCACAGATGTTAAAACTATCAGCAACATCAAACTATGTGTTTTACATTATTATCATCTGAAAACTATGGACTGTTTGTGAACCACTTAATAGAAGGGAACATACAGGTTTTTCCATGAAAATGCTTTATCTTAAATTCTTATATAATATCAATCATATAAATTATTCATTCCACATAGTATATACGTCTTAGTAATCCATAGCCATGTCACCCAGAAACTGGGAGTTATCCTGGACTGCCTCCTCCTCCTCCCTTAGCCCCCATATTCAATTGACAATCAACTTCTGTGAAACTTAACACTTCAACATCTTGTGAATCAACCACTTTTCTCCACGAATTTCTCTCCTCCACTATCACCAGTGTGGTCTAAGCCAATCTCCTCTGTGACCTAGACTCTCCTAATTTTACATTTCTTCCTCCTCCTCTCCAATCCAGTGTTTACACTGCAATCATAGTGATTATTTAAATTTTTAAAAAATGATTATGGCATTACCCTGCTTTCATGAAAACCCTTTACTGGTTTCCTACAGTACTCAAGATAAAGACCAAAATACTTAACTGCAGACTCTCCAGGAGCCTGCCCAGGGATTCTGATCTGAATCTGAAAATTGCCATCTGAAAATACCATAGCCTCTAATTTTTTCAAGAGAAATCAGAAATCTAGACCTTCGTGGGAAATCTCCTGATATGTGAAAGCTGGCAACTAACCCATACTTTTTTGAACAAGAAGGCCAAATCTGACCTCTCATGTAGTCTTCACCTAGCCCCACACCAGCCATACCGAACATTTCTCAGGTCCTCAATGGTGCCAGGCTTTTTTCTTAGGGTTCTCACACATGTTGTATCCTCTGCTTTGACCACTTTTTCCCACATCTCTAGTTCACTTAGCAATCTACTAGTTCTAAGACTCTGAGCCAGTCATGCTTCCTCAACGAAGCCTTCCCTATTGGCACTGCCTGTCCCACGACCCCAATCCACAGGGTTAAATCGCACCATTATGTACTCTGACAGCACTGAGTACAACTTCATAACATTCCTCACACTTCAACAATAAATTTACTTATTTAATGCCCATCATCCTCCTCCTTTAATGGGAAGCTCCATTAAAGCAGGGCCTGACACACAGTAGACACGCAATACACATTTGTCACTAACTACTTTGGTTATAAAATGTTCCTTTGGGGCGCCTGGGTGGCTCAGCTGGTTGAGCGTCGGACTTCGGCTCAAGTCGTGAGTTCGAGCCCCACGTTGGGCTCTGTGCTGACAGCTCAGAGCCTGGAGCCTGCTTTGGATTCTGTGTCTCCCTCTCTGACCTTCCCCCATTCAAGCATGTCTCATTCATGCTTCCCTCATTCATGCTGTCCCCCATTTATTCTGTCTCAAAATAAATAAACATTGAAAAAAAAAATTTTTTTTAAATGTTCCTTCAGACAACAAGATTCTGGTATGCTTTTAAAATATTAATCTGTATCTAACTTTTCAGAAACATGTATGGTATTTAAAGTGGCCTCAATATTAAAGTAATTCAATTAAAACAATAATTATTGATAATAATTCCTAATATTTATTGACCACTTACTAAATACTAAGAACTATTTTGAGTACTTTGTATGTTACTATCTCATTCAATATAACAATCTGTAAAGTGGGGCACCTGGGTGGCGCAGTCGGTTAAGCGTCCGACTTCAGCCAGGTCACGATCTCGCGGTCCGTGAGTTCGAGCCCCGCGTCAGGCTCTGGGCTGATGGCTCAGAGCCTGGAGCCTGTTTCTGATTCTGTGTCTCCCTCTCTCTCTGCCCCTCCCCCGTTCATGCTCTGTCTCTCTCTGTCTCAAAAATAAATAAACGCTGAAAAAAAAAAAATGAAAAAAAAAAAAAATAAAAATAACAATCTGTAAAGTAAATGCCGTCATCCAGAGGAAGCAACTTAGGCACAGAGTATGAAAATTTACTCAAGATCATATATCTAAATCAGTGACAAACTAGGGTATGAATCTATGTAGTCAAGACTCAGAACTTAAGCACCTAACTACAATACTAAGCTAACTCATTAATAAAGAAAAGTCAATGCAACAAGTACCCCCTTAAAGACTGTGAATAAGAAATAATGGCCATGATTTATTTTCCATTACTTATCCATTAAAGTAAGGTTCCTCATCCCTCTATCCTGCACCCTTCTACACATACACAAAATTAAGATAAATTATCAACTTGTACTTTTCAAATTAAGAAAGATGTTTTTTTGACCCACACCCAAAATACGTATGATTTTAGCACCAACTAACTGTTAAAATACTATCTTTCTGCATGATTTTTATAAAGATAATGTGTCTGCATTAGCTTGATGTTTTATGTCTCACATTTTAAACTTGTTATTTGAATGATCTCTGCTTTGAAATGGATTTCATTGCTCAAATTAGAAATTGGTAGACTGTGCTTTAAGATATGGTAAGCAACAATCAATGACATACAAAACAAAGATAAAAACAAACTGATATAAGCACAAAAATATGTATAGAGGTAATACAGGGATCCCTCTTCACCCGAATCCTCACTATGTGAATTCTTGTTTTCTTAAATTCAGGAACTAAATAGACTGGAGTAAACTCTCACAAGTATCATTTGCTACCTGGACTCTTACTATCCAAAACTCAGGATCTGGCTCACCCACCATCCCTTACTATGAGAACTCAATAACCAACCCTCTAATTCCAAACTCAGGAACCCAAGAATTGGGGCTAGCAATACACAAACATATGCATTCACGGTCCTATTAATTTAAGAATTTTTGTTTGAGAGATTTAAGTAGGCTTTTTAAAACATGAATAAGATGGACATACCTATTCTCATTCAAATCTTAAATTTTAACTCCACTTAACTGAGAATCTTTCTATGTATTTCTAAACTAGGATGTTGCCATATACTGTATATATTTTAACCTTTAGACCACACTTAAAATGTGAAGAAAACTGCTCAGTATGTGACGGATTACTATAATTATAGAGTTAAACAATGTTTATGCATGGTTGTCAAAAAAAAATCTGAAGCCAGTCTTAACACCCTTTATTTTCAAATGTTTATCAGAGCTTCTATAAAAATCATGGGAACTAAGGTTTCTCCAGGAAAATAGTAGTTTCAGTGCTAATTTTTCAGCAACATATTTCACATATCACATCAGATTTTCTCGAAGTCGCGAAGGGCAAAGGGCAAAATAGAAGGAACTGATGCAAAAGAGTACAGAAGATGAAAATGATGGCAAAAAGTCCAAATTTAGTTACAGAATAATGGCATGAAACAGTTTTAGAAGTAACTACTCCATAAGGTTCAGCCAAAAGTCAAAGAATCAGGAAGAAAATAATGAATTAACAAGATTGAGAATAAGGAGAAACCAGCTGTCATTACAACACTGCATTATCCCAAGTATTTAACTTAGGCTCACATTTGAACCTCAGCTTTTCCAAAAACCTCCTACTTAATAAAAAGTTAAAACTAATGTCAGTTGAAAACAGCATTCAAACACAGTTTTTTTCACACACTCAAAAATTATTTTAAGAAACAGGGAAAAGAGGGAATTTAACAGTTAAAAAAAAAATGTAGGTTTGAGAAAAATAAACTACTTTCCCCGAACTCTTCTCCTGACACAAATTGCATAAATGATTTAAAGATACAGTCACTAGAGCTCCCATTTTACCCCAATTTGGCTCTAATCACCGAGCGCTCCCCTCACTTTGGTGATGTGAAAGAATGTGATCCCTTTAACCAAATAAACTGCAACAGTTCCCTGACACACTCCATCTCACACATTATAAAAAATAAATTAAAATATATAACCAAATCTTGTTACAAAACACAAAGTGAAATGACTGTAAGATTCAATGATATTTTTAACGTAACTAATTCCATATGGAGCACCAAAACAGGTCCCTGACAATAACAGAAATCAGTATATTTCTGTAGGCTAAGACACCACAGGTATATTCTGCCCATAGTTTGCCTTCCTAAAAAGCTAAGATTCACTACTAAGCTTTAACTACAAGCCAGAGAATAAGAGCCCTCTGGGAGAGAACAAACTCACAGAAGCGGTCAGGATTCAATGGGTCTATTTCACAGGGTGGCACTAAGACTGAATGCAACACATTCTTAATAAATGAAGGCGCAGCATAGGTCATCATTTCTTTAGATTAAATTTTCATACCTCCATTCCCAAACGTTCATATGAGGCACTACATCTCTGAGCACAAACGTTTCTCCTCTATAAAACAAAGGAGCTGGAGGACTAGGTTCTAGGAGCCCTTCCCGTCTATGGTTCCATTCTATCAGTTCTGAAATAACTACAACTCTAACGACTCGAGGAAAATTACATTTTACTGCAACAACAACAAGGAAAAATTTTTAAGACCGGTCTGATGCAATAAACCATACCTTGCTCTGCCAAATGTTAATATCAGAACTTCTGAAATAAACAAACCTGTGTCTATGTTCATCAGGTCCATGGATCAGGAAGACTCCAGGGTTTTTGGCCCCTTTGCTGGCATCTACATGGGGAATTAACACATCTTCCAAACCCAGATCAAAGCGTTTGTGTTTTGAAGAGTCTGGAAGGAAGAAGAATGCCCCAAAACACAGGGTGATGAAGGCACTTAGAATAAGGAGGAGGATAAACTTCTCAGAAAGTCTCAAGGTAGCCCTGTGATGCGGAAAGGAAGGCGGCCCCAGGTTCAGAGGTGGTATCCTTCGTCCAGATAAAGGGAGCAGGGCCGGGGTAGTCATCGTTTACGCTCTCGGGCAGAATATTTTATAAAGTTATCATCTTATATCAAATGTACAATACATTGAACAGTCTTCAAAATCTTGGCAAAAATGGGGAAACTCAATTTTGCTCCTCTTAAAGGACTGTTGTGCTTTTTAATAGGGCACCTCTTTCACGCTCGTCCAATTACATTCAAAAACGTGTGTGGCCCCCACACGATCACTAGTTTGTGTCCTGTGATATTTTCTCTGCCATTTGGCTTTCAGTACCTCCTCGGGTTATCACAAGTCTCCTCTTCATTCCTAACGGCGGACGAGGCAAGCAACGCTGCAGAA